ATTCTCAGATCCAGACTTCAAGCGACCAGCCAGAAAGATCACTTTTCTTCACAGCTCGCCAAATCAACAAATTAACCTGATATTACTAGTAGCTGCAGTGTTATTAGACCCAACAGCAGCTAGCTAGGTAGGGGATTGGGGATTGGGGACCTATTATGGCACTCGCCCGACAAGCTACTTTGACTACTATCCATGAATACTGGTACCGAACAACAAAGGCAAGTCAACATGTTCACTCAGATGTGCGACCGAGTTTGGAAAATGGAGAGGCAACCAAACCACCAACACTTCGTGCTACTGTATGACAGGAAAAGATGGATCTTATGGATCTTCTCTTCTAGGTAGCTAGCCATATGTACCGTATCACATAGTTTCTTACCGGTAGTCGCCATTTTGCTATGAAATCATGGTGCCTGACTAGCTACTCTCCGTTTCAGCCAGCCACAGACCGGGAGCAAAAGAAGCTCAACCAGAGATGCAAGCCATATATATGATATGCAAGGTACAAGGTATATCCGTACAAGGTATATCCGTATTTCTTCTATACGACTTGTATGCTGGAGCCGAAGTTTTCGGGTTGCGCTACAACAGCCTATATAAATGCTTTCACCACGACCGGCAGCGTCATGTTTGCCGGCAAGGCTTTGCTTTCGAACCTCTACTCTCGGGTACCATTGCCATGGCTGCCACGAGGAGTACATGTAGTGAGTTTAACATTCGGGGATGGCGGCCATACCCGTACGTATTAGCTATAATAGAAAAATAATATAGGGAATTACGTGAAAGGAACGTCACTAGGTAACTTCTGCTTGTAAAAGTTGGGAAGGGATCCAAGGGTTCAGGGCGTGATGTAGGCATATATGGACCGGCAAGTACTGAGGATGGGGATGAGCAGAAGAATAGAGGGATCATGCTTGGTGTGTAATGGCGGTTGAAAGTGTTGTGCCAAGTGCGTAGATAGATTGAGGGCGAGTGATTGGTGTGCCCAGTGTGAAGGTGTGTAGGGGTATGTGTCGTATGGAGTAGTTGGTGGGAGTTACGAAATGTGTATCGGCGGTGGGGAGGATGGCAGTTGGGGCTGAAAGGATTGAGCGTAGGAGCGTTGGGAGTGGGTTGGTACCGGTAGTTTGTCAGACACCGGGGATGCTGGGAGGGGGAATGGTTGGCGAGAGGAACCGGTCTTGGAGAGCTAGCTAGCTACTAGTAGTACCACAAACAATAAAGGGTGGGTCAGGTCGAATTGGTGGACTCGTATGATGTCATACAAGTGAATCGAATTCTGAATGATGAATCAGCGTGGAGGAACTTCACACGTACGTGGCGTGATTGACAAGTCCTGAAGCAGCCTCGTGACTCACTCCAGATGAAGTTGAACTCAATCTTTCTACGCTATCCCAGTACTACAACTATGTACGTTGACGTTTGGATCGCAGCCACAACAACTACTAGCTAGCTAGCTACGACTGTAGTACGCAAAGAAAGACAGCTCTCTCGACTGTTGTTGAGCCGTCCTTCGAAAGGCACACCACACAATTCCGTCTCCACATTTCCTTCCTTTGCAGGTGCGTAACATGGCCGGCAACATGTAGAGCTTGATCGGCGGCAGCAACAGACCTCCCCTCCCTGGGATTCTTGTTGTCTTGTGGTCTTGTCTTATGCTGGAGGGGGTGTCGTTCGCTGATTCATGACTTCCATAATGGCGTATTCTCATATCTTTCTTTTCTACCACTTAGGTCCAGTAATAACAGATTCACCATGAAGCTCACTATCCTTGCCACCCTCATCGCTTGCGTCTCTGCCTTCACTGGCGAGCCTCTGCGAACTTCGGTCAAGAGTTCTTCTGCACTCTCCATGGCTGCTATTCAGCCAAAGCTCGCCTACGTTCCATGCATTCCTTTGAGTGACCTCCCCAAACCTGGAAGTGCCACATCTGGAGTTGCTGGAGGTCTTGCAATCTGCATTGCCGTCGACCCTAAGGGATCTGTTTATGCTCTTGGAGACAAGTGCCCCCCAGTCAACCAGCCTCTTTCCTTCGGAAAAGTCAATGATGACGGAACCATCCAAGATCCTGTCCTTGGAACCAAATTCTCCTTGAAAACTGGTGAAGTTGTTGACTGGTGCCCAGCTGGACTTTAGCGCCAGAAACAAAATCAGTGCGAGAATGATGAGGCCCTCATCGTCCCCCGCATACGAGGTGGGTCAGTCCCTCTCATAGCGCCGCGGGTGCTCGTCCATGGGGAGGATGTCTGTGTGTGTGCGAAGGTCAATCACTCTGATGTTCACACGCCAAGTTCGGCCTCTCGAATATCCAGGGATATGGCTGTACTGGGTGTCTGTGCTTGGAATGCCCAGGGGAAAGTCCTACTCGCAAGACATAGGCGGAGAAAGCAGCAACGATAACGAATACACAAAATATTAAAGACTACCTTTGCGCAGCACAAAGAAGCACTGGGCCGATCGCAGGGCGTCGATCGATACTCCATTGCGGAGACACGCATCATGCTTGGACAGTCAATGAGACTGAGAAGTGAACTCACGCAGTTTGGGCACGCGAAGTCTAACAACCAAAGTGTGATCCTAGACATCCTAAAGTATCTTGAACAGTTGTGGACTAAGAGACACTTGAATTTGATCTGCATGGTCACCAGCCGCGAACGTGCATGTTTCTTTTGGAGTAGTAGTATTTATAATGGTGGATCTGGGTCTGGTTTGTGGGGAGGTTTGATCCGCGACTGCGAAGATACTGTCGCGTGTTGGCGTCACGCCCGTGCTAACATTCGTCGCTTCGCTGCTCATATGCCCATACTCCTGAGCACGACATAAGTGACTTAACACCATATTGAACCTTACTCGACCATTTTAAGATTCGTCCCGAGCCGTCCTGCCTCTTCAGCGGTCGTGCCTGCGGGAATCTGGTTGGGTGATTGATCGCGTAATGGTTTTACTAGCTTACTGGTCAATTGAATGATTTGGCATGATTCATAGTTGCCGCTGTCGATCTTCTTCTCCTCCCTCTCCATGAATACCGGTACCGAACAACAAAAGACCTTGCACTACGCTAAAAGCTAGTGAAAAGATCTTTCGAGTGTTTTTGAGTTTGAGAGAATGAAAGTTATGAGAGAATTAGAAAGCTATGAAAACTATCAACGAGAGAGATCAAAAATAAAAGGATCGTAGATATGGCTTTCCCGCGGTAACTATAAAGTGTGATTAAGTAGGTTGTGGTAGTAATCCTACGTATCTCCATTATCCTAAAACGGAACGCGTGGAGGTTTTGTCTAGCTGATCTAGTGCGTGGAAGTACTCCACGCTGGTCAAATATCTAGAGCGATGTTCATCATCCTAGTATGACTGTGGCGGTCATTGAGAACCCTGTCTCAAATGGCTATTCACGAAAGAACTCAGTCATGAGTCGAATCAAACCTATCTAGGATCGGATTCGCGAATAAGGCTAAGAGCGTGTATTGCTTCGCCCCTGACAAGCGGTCACAGAAGAACGACACAGTCGAACAATGGAGAACATATTGAATTAAAGTGCGGGGCACATCTCATGAGATTTGGATGTAGACATGTATCAGTCGCACGATGGCAATCATACAAGGGATCAGGCCTTGTATAGGTGTAAATACCTTATGTACCAAGTCTGGTAGACTGTCATCCAGCCTTGCGCTGTCATGGCATGTCGGAGCCGTACAGTGGCCTGTCAATTTGACCGGTCTATAGTGTAAGGACTCTTTGTACTTTGGCTGACCGTACTTGCAGGTGTGATACTGTGATCATCTACAGCTATCGTGTGCGTTGTATTGATTAGGGTCACGCGTTGCGTTTTCCCTATCGGTTGTTTTTGTTGGATTAGTCGTTGGCGACGTTCCTTAATGTACTTCAGTTGGCTTCGAACCGGACGTTGTGAATCGCGTCACGATTGAACACGAGCTGTGCAGGCGTTGCACGCAAGGTGGTATGGTCGTGGCATTCATTGCAAAACGAAACCGCCGTGAGGACTCCATCCCAGGATCCATTCCGAGGTCGTCGCTTGGCACTGATGTTTTGAACAGCGATCAAGTTGACGTATGGTTGATGAGCACGCTCGACCATAGGTTGCCTTGAGGGTTACTGCGTGGTGATGGACTTGTCACGAAGTCCATATTCATCCCGGGTGTCTTCTCACTCTGCTGCGCGGAACTCGTCTCTATCCATGATACTCCCAGCGGATGGATCCGAGTAGCCAGTTTGTTCATAGGACGATGGCTTACTTCGTCTGCTGCCTTGGAGCAGATCTCTGCCATCTCGAACCATACGGTTAAGCGGATCAATCATTTTCAAGCAATGAATGTGCAGGTAATCTCTTTTCTTGGGATACCCGACGTTTCGTAAGGCCCTATCAGGTTCGAATCATATTCTTTCCCAAGGGTCTCCTCGCATAGTCTTTGGAGGCATCAATCCAGCTTACGCGTCTTGGTTTGTTCATCTGGCAGCTTTGGCAACGCTGACAACTTACTGCCTGCACAGTATTGCGCAGCCCTTTCCAGGAGTAGTGTTGGCTGATGGTTAGCTCCGTGAGAGTCTCGCCAGGATGCATCAGCACCCCATAGTACCATTCAACTAGATTCTACTGCATAGTTTTAGGTACAACGATTTTCTCGTCCTTAACTAATAAGTCGTAAGACTTATCCCCTATGGGGAAAGAATTGCTTCTTGAGTCGGTGTGGTGTCTCTGAGGAGTTTCCTGATATCGTTGTCGTCTTTTCTGACGATGTTCGATTCCGGGGAACGAGAGAGGAACTCGCTAGGGAAGTCCTTGTCGTCTGCAGCCATGAGCTTAGCGATCTCGCTGGCGTCCTTCTGTTCCGAAGAACCGTCGTTGTGGGAGATGTTAAGTCTCGACAACGCATCAACGACGATGTTCTGTTCGCCCTTGATGTACGGTAGTTCAGGGCCGTATTCTTCCAGATAAGGCGCCATCGCATTACGGCCCGATCGCGTGACGCGATCGGTATTGAAACTCTTGCAGGTGAGATTCTTGTGGTCCGTATTTACGACGATCTTCTGTCCTAGAAGGATATTACGGAACTCTTTTAGGTTTTCTACGATACTGAGAAGTTCTTTCTCGGTAACTGTGTAAAGTGTCTGAGCAGGGTTGAGCTTCCTACTGTAGAACGCGAGAGGTTTCCCCTTCTGGGAAATTACCACACCTAGTTGAGTATCACTCGCATCCGTGTGGATAACGAATGTGTCATGTAAGTCAGGGTAGGGGAGCAAGGTTTCTTTGCTGATGATCTTCTTTCATCTGGCTAAAGGCCTTGTCGGTTTCCGCTTCCCATTTCCACTTCGTTGTTTTGGAAGTCAGCGAAGCGATTGAAGTCAGTACATGTGATCGTCTACTCCACATGTCTCGATAGTAGTCCACTAGTCCAATGAATCTACGAGTTCCTTCCTGTTGTAGGGAGGAGCGATATTCTGATCGCGTCTATTTTCTTGGTTATAGGTTGGATCCCTTCTCGGTAATCCATTAACCCTAGTACTCAAGGTTCTCCTTTTCCCTGCGAAGAAGGACTTGGTAGCATTGATCTTTAAGTCCGGCTTCTCGAACCCTTCGGAGAACTTCATCCAACTTTGTAACGTGATCTGCCAGATCACCGTTAGTTAGTATGAGTAGATCATCAATGTATGCACGGACGTTTTCTAGGTCGTGCATTAGCGTCCCATCTTCTTGCTTGGAAGATTGCAGGACTGTTACATAGGCCCATTGGAAACCTCTGGTACTCTGCTTTCCCTCGGAGTACGATGGTACAGGGTTGCTTCGATGAGGTGACACTCGATGTGATAGTTCCAATTTCAGGTCTAGACTAGTAGCGTACTTGAATCCTCTAGATTCAAGAGCATGTTTGTATTTTTGGGATAGGGTAAGAGCTTCGCTTAATCCTTTGTTCGAGTTCCCGGAAATCAGAATGAATCTACAGATCCTCCTTTTGGGAATGATAAAGTTGGTGCCGCCCACTCGGAACGTTTACCTTCTTGAGTACTCCTGCTCGCCAGACGTTCAACCTCCATCTAAGAGTGTTTGTGTGGACCCGTGGAATAGGGTAGCCTTCTGATGATAGGAGTTTAGACTTCGGGAGAAGTTTACTCGTAGTCGTCCATCGCACTTCCAAAGTACCATCGAATGGTCAGAGACTTGTAGTAAAGAGTGAAGCGTCTTGCTCTTCCTTTTAACTGATTTGACTCTGGCAAACCTGCCTTAAGTCAGCTTTCGTATTTCGCATCAAGATCTTCTTGAGACATCTGCACTGTCTGACAGCTGGCAGGATCAGAATGGAAAAGTTCTCTTCTTCATTGGTGTCGCTATCTTCTAGGAATAATGCTGTCCCATCCACTGACATGGAGTGAAATCAACTTGACTAGAGTCAAGAGAATTCTGACCTATGATCATGTCATACGCCCCCAAGCTCTTGGTGACGTGTAATCCCCATTCGATAATTCTACTATCAGGAAACTCAGGAATTCATGAAGTAATGCCCTTGCACTTCGTGCTAGGGGTTTCAATCTCCTCAGGGTGCTCCTGTACATGTTTGGACGCCCCAAGATCCCTTCATGGTAATTATCGTTAGCATTGAGTTTGAGTAATAAAAGCTTCGGATGCTCTGTACCAGCAATCATAACTGAGTGTAACGGGTTTTGTTTCCCTTTTCTCGCTCTGTTAAATCTAACATAAACGAAGGTTTTGAGGTCTTTGTCTTGGGACGTTTACGAGTTGGTTTGCCACATTCTCAGATCCAGACTTCAAAGCGACCAGCCAGAAAGATCACTTTTTCTTCACAGCTCGCCCAAATCAACAAATTAACCTTGATATTACTAGTAGCTGCAGTGTTATTAGACCCAACAGCAGCTAGCTAGGTAGGGGATTGGGGATTGGGGACCTATTATGGCACTCGCCCGACAAGCTACTTTGACTACTATCCATGAATACTGGTACCGAACAACAAAGGCAAGTCAACATGTTCACTCAGATGTGCGACCGAGTTTGGAAAATGGAGAGGCAACCAAACCACCAACACTTCGTGCTACTGTATGACAGGAAAAGATGGATCTTATGGATCTTCTCTTCTAGGTAGCTAGCCATATGTACCGTATCACAT